GGCCCGGGGCTGGCACGGCTCTAAAGGAGCTGTCAAAAGTCACTTGTCCTCAGTTAACTCCAGAGCAACAGACGGGAGCAGGAAAGCTTTGATGGTGGAGAGGAGAATGTCTGGCGAGAGCTCGGGGACATAAATCATTGCTGGGGGAGCCGGGGCTATCTGGGACCTGTTCCCACCCTGCTGCTGCTTGGCACCCGAGGGGGAATGTGTTGTTTCCCTCCTTTGCTTCTCAGTTTCACCTTTCTCCTTTGGGAACAGCGTTGAGATCTCCTGATAAAGTGCTTGATAAGAGCTAGGGAGGCTAAAACGCGTGTGCCTCAAGGTCTAGTCCAAGGGTTGTTGTGAGCAGCGTTTAATTCCCTGGTGAAGGTGCTGTTCAGGCTGCCCGGGGTCGAGGTGAGGCTGCTTTCCAGCTGACCTGGACAAGAAGGAGCACTGATCCAGCCTGCTCTCTCCTTTCCTTTCTAAATATAGCAGAAGAATGGCATCTGGCCTTAGCCAGGTGCGGTTGGGTTACCCCCACGCCAGGAGCCAGGCCGTTGGCCACAGCCCTGCTGAGAGCCTGGGCTCTTCATCTGCCTCATTGATGGGCTCCATCCAGCGTCCTGGGGTGCCCAGAGCCCCAGGCCAGGGCAGGGGCTGCAGGAGCCTCTGGGCAGAGAGAGCTGCTTGTCCCATCCCAGCAGCAAAGCCACTGCTCCCGGGTGGCCGGGACCTTCAGCTGTAGCCCTGACCCCAGCAGCATTTCCTTCTGAGTCTTCCTTATCTACTCTGCTCTAGTGAGGCCACATCTGGACAGCTGGGTCCAGTTCTGAGCTCCCCAGGGAGACAAAGAACTTCTGAGGAGAATTCAGCAGAGGCTGTGAAGCTGCTGAGGTGCCTGGAGCATCTCCAGGACAGGCCAAGGCTGGGAGACCTGGGGCTGTTTATCCTGGAGAAGACTGAGGGGATCTGATCAGTGCTGAGCAAGAGCTAAAGGGCCCCCGGGGGGCAAGAGGCTGGGGCCAGACTCTGGTCAGTGGTGCCCAGCGACAGGACAAGGGGCAACGGGCACCAACTGGAACCCAGGAGGTGCCACCTGAGCAGGAGGAGAAACTTCTTTGGTGTGAGTGTGCAGAGCCTGGAGCAGCTGCCCAGAGAGGCTGGGGAGGCTCCTGCTCTGGAGAGATCCCAAACCCACCTGGCTGTGACCCTGGGCACCCTGCTGTGGGTGAGCTGCTGGAGCAGGGGGGTTGGACGAGGTGTTCCCTAGAGGTCCCTTCCAGCCCCCCCATGCTGGGACTCTGTGCCACAGTCGGTTGTTTCCCAACCAGGGGAGCATCCCTGGAGCAGAGCTGTGCTGCCAACTGGGCTTCCAGAGCCTGCAGCTGGAGCAGGGCTGGACACGAGCCATGTGCAAGGGCAGGGCCAGGCTGTGCTGTGCAGATGTGCCAGCAACCCTGGATAACTTCCTTGGGGTTGAGGATGAGCATCCCCTGAGGCTGCTGCCGTCCCCGTGGAAGCAAGGACGGCTTCAGATTGTCCCCAAACACCCCTGGCCTTCTGCAGCCACCTCTTGTCTTACCCCCCTGCAGTGCAGCTGAAGCTAGAGACCTTTTTTTAGCAGATGCACCAACAGATGACCCTCAGGGGACCCAAGGACAGGGGTGCTGGGCGGGCAGCTGTAACACGTGCCCGTCTCTCCTTCCCAGGACAACCACAAGCTGTACAAGCAGAAGCTGGAGGAGCTGACCAAGCTCCAGGATGGCATCTCCAGCTCCATTGCACGGCAGAAGAAGCGGCTGAAGGAGCTGTCGTTGTCCCTCAAGAAGTAAGTTGGTGCCCCTGGGATGGGATGGGGTAGGAGAGCAGCAGGGGTGGGAGAGCAGCAGGGGTGGGCCAGACAAACGGCTCTGTCTCCACCACAAACCCTACTGATGGCAAAGTGCTGTGGAGGTCCAGACTTGCCCAGGCAGATCTTCCTTAGCTTGGCTTTCCCCTGCCTCGATTGGTGCCTCGTTTGCAGTTCAGAGCTTGCAAGGGCTTTGCAGGGAACTTGAGCTGTCCCCTCCTGCACAAAGCTCCCTCCATTTGGCCTTGAGGGCGAGAAGACCCCTCTGGTCTCTCCTCACTTCCTCTTCTCAAGCAAGAACCCAGCCTGGCAGAGGAGCTTGCCCTGTGTGTGGTTGTGGGCTGGCCTCCTGTCCCTTTTCCCTGTCCTTGGGGTGTCCTTGCTGGAGACAGTCGAGTGCCAAGAGCCAGCACGTGCTGATGGTGTTAGAGCAGCTCTCCTGATGTGCTTCCTCCCCAGATGCAAAGCCCACGTCAGCCCTGAACAGGAGGAGTCCATCCAAGAGACCCAGAACCTCATCAAAGAGAGGCAGAATGTTTTCTTTGAGATGGAGGCCTACCTGCCAAAGAAGAACGGGTGAGAGGCACCTCAGCTCGGGGTGGAACCCCAAACCCACCTCTGCATCCACTGTAATGGGGGCTTGCTCCCAGCCCCACGGGGCTCCTGTCCCAACTCCTCTGCTCTCTCCCCAGGTTGTACCTGAGTCTGGTGCTGGGGAATGTGAACGTCACACTGCTCAGCAAGCAGGCCAAGTATGGGAGCTGCTGCTGTGCCCAGCTGCCTGGTGCACATCTCCCCTCCCCTCTGTCCCCTGCTTCCTCACCCAGGGCTGGGATGGAGCCTCAGCTCTGACAAGCTAAACAGGATCCTCCACCAAAGCCACGTCCAGGTTTCCTCTGTCAGGGACTCCCACGGGACGTGTTCCTGCAGCCCCTGGCAACCCCCCTCCTCTTCCCCTGGGAAACACCAACGGCTGGGTTTGGCCCAGCAGACCCTCCCTGTGCTGGGACACTAATCCAGAGGGGCCGAGTCAGCAGCACGTGTCCACCTCCCTGTTCCCCAGGCCTCCCCTTGAGGAGCTGAGCAGCCTCCAGCTTGCCCAGGCTGGCGTGGTTTGGGGTGTGGGGAAGCTGCCTCAGCTGGGTGAAAGCAGCCTGGTGTCCTCTCCTCAGAAACATCCACGGGATGAGGCTTTTCCTGAGCATGTCCCAGAGGTTCCCAACAGAACGTCCCTTTTATCCAGCCAAGTGGGATGGGAGGACACAGATTTCCAAGAGCCACTTTGCTCCAAGAGTGTCCTTGTGTTTCTCTGCAGGTTTGCCTACAAGGATGAGTATGAAAAGTTCAAGCTCTACCTCACCATCATCTTACTCATCGTCTCGTTCTCCTGTCGGTTCCTCTTCAACTCCAGGTGAGTCTGGCTTGGACACTGGACAGAGATCTTCTCCCAGGGCCCCTGTGTCCTCCTCTCCCACCCTGAGAGGTCCAGAGCTGAACAGGAGGTGGCTGCTGCAGTCTCACTGTGGCCAGGGTGGATGGTGGAGCAGCAGGTGTCCCTGCCAGCAGGGTGGGTGGGCATCCAGCAGTGATGGCTGTGTGCCCCCCCAGCACCCAGGCAGGGGTTCTGCTGCCCCCTTCACACCCCACCTTGCTTCCCACCAGGGTGACAGATGCTGTCTTTAACTTCCTGCTGGTCTGGTACTACTGCACCCTCACCATCCGGGAGAGCATCCTCATCAACAACGGATCCAAGTGAGTCCCTGGGGCTGGGGGAGGGGTCAGTGAGTCGGTGCCTCTCTGCAGGGCTGGGGGGCAGGGGCTCCCCCCTACTCAGGGGGTGTAGCAACCCCTGGCGATGGGCAGGAGGTGGAGGTGGAGCTGTGGGTGGAAGGGCCCCAGCCCCGGGGTGCTGTGTCCTGCTCTGTGTGCAGCCACTGTGCCCAGCCCTGCTCCTCACCTTGCCCTGGCTCTGCTCCTGCTCTCTGGGTTCATGCTCAAGACCTGAGGCCCCTTCTCTGTGTTTGCCTTCCAGAATCAAAGGCTGGTGGGTGTTCCATCACTACGTCTCCACCTTCCTCTCAGGTGTCTTGCTGACGTGGTGAGTCTGCATCCCCTGGCTCTTGGCTGTAGGTCCCTGGGCTGCTTGGGCTGCAGCTGGCTCAGAGGACGGGGCCCTCACTGCCCTGACCCATGGCTGTAGTTCTCCCCTGGGGTTTTTGTGCTCTAGCCAGCTCCACACAATCCTCCCCAAGCTGTTGGCAGCACAGGAAGGGCCCCCAGGCTGGGGAACCCGGAGGTTTGGGTGGCAGGACCCCCTCAAAGCCCCATTTTGGTGGGAGCTGGGGGCAGTGCTGCCCGTGCCTGGCTGTGGGGCAGGCAGGGCTGGCCGTGGCCCCGCTCAGCCCCACGTCCCCAGCCAGCACCATCTTTCCACAGGCCAGATGGGCTTATGTACCAGATGTTCCGGAACCAGTTCCTCTCCTTCTCCATGTACCAGAGTAAGTGCTGCTGCCTGCACTGGGCCCAGGGCTGGGCTGGGCTCTGTGGCATGTGCAGACCCGGCTGCCACAGCTCCCAGCTCACCCGGGGGGGTTCCCTGGTCCTGCCCTGGCCCTGGGATGGTCTTTGTGTGTTGGCCAGGGGGATGCCTGGGCAGGTGCTGACCAGGTCTGTGCTCTCCCTGCAGGCTTTGTGCAGTTCCTGCAGTACTACTACCAGAGCGGGTGCCTGTACCGGCTGCGGGCGCTGGGCGAGAGGCACAACATGGATCTGACTGTGGGTGAGCTGGGACCCTCCCTCACTGCACGTCCCAGCCCCTGGCTGCCCGCAGCTCCCTCCCAGCACCAGACCCAGAGCTAACTGGGAGCTGTGGGGCCGTTCCCTGTGGTTGGAGGTCAGCTGGGCTGCACTTGAGCAGTCCCAGAAATGGTAAAAGCTACAGGAAGAGCCAGAGCCTCAAGAGCGGCGTGTGCTGTGTGGTGGCAGCAGCCCACAGGCTGCCCCCTCCTCCTGCTCTCCTGGGCCCACCAGCCCACAGCTGGCTCCTTCAGCACGTGAAGGAGCAGTGGGTGGTACCTGAGCTTCCCAGGGGAAGCTCCTTCAGACATGGAACATCCCTTTCTCCACGTACTTGTGGGCTGGCACCTCCCAGGCTCCAGCAACACCGGGTGCTCAGGCCAAGGGCCAGCAGCAGTGGATGAGGGCAGCTCTACCAGAGAGCTTCCTCCAGAGCCCCACGTTAGATGAGCACTAGGAAGCCCTGCTGAGGTCCTCCCTGGGAGTACAGGTGCCCACGATGGGGCTGCAGTAGTCAGGCAGCACCTTCTAAACCTTTAGTGGGTGGCCACTAAACCTCCAGGCCAGTGACCTCAGGAGCTGGGCTCCATCCTGTCCCCCAGCCAGCGTGTGCTGGGGTCCCCACACAGCCCTTCTTCCCTTGCAGAGGGCTTCCAGTCCTGGATGTGGAGAGGCCTCACGTTCCTGCTTCCCTTCCTCTTCTTCGGGCACGTGAGTGTGCAGGGATCCCTGTGGGAGGCAGTGGGGAGGGGTAGGGTGGGTGCTGCCGTGTTCCCTCTGCCCTGCCCATGCCAGATGGCTGCCAGGAGTGGGGAGGTGCTTTCAACAAAGGTTGAGCCCTTTCCTCCACCCATCACCTCCCCAGCTTGGCTGCTGAGGTGGGGAGGACCTGGGGCTGCTGGTCATTCTGCTGAGTGCTGTGTGTGAACTGCAGCAGTGGGGTTGGCTCCAAGAACCTTTCCAAAGCCTTTGCTGAGCTTCAGCCCCGAGCTGCTGCTGCTGCAGGTCCCCGTCTCCCTTCCTCAGCTCATTTAGGCCAATGGCCCAAAGCAGTCGGCTGCCCCAAGGCTTCCTGTTGGGCTCCAGAAGGTGGCAGGAAAGGGGGAGGTGTCCCAGTGGGGTCCTCTGGCCCTGAGCCTGGCTGGGGCTTTGCTGTGTGCTGGGGTGGATGTTGCACAAGGTCTGTGTGGGGTGGGTGCCCAGAGGAAGGGGCTGGTTGAGCTTCTGCACAGGGCTGAGCCTCCCAACGCAGGGATTCCCCTGAATCTCCTCTCTCCTCCAGTTCTGGCAGCTCTACAATGCCATCACCCTCTTCCACATGCTCCAGCACCCGGAGTGTAAGGAGTGGCAGGTAAGGGGGCTCCTGGAGAGCTGCCCCAGGGACAGGGGTGCCCGAGCCAGGCCCCTCCTGCTGACTTGTGCCTCTGCAGGTCCTCATGTGTGGCCTCCCCTTCCTCATCCTCTTCCTGGGGAACTTCTTCACCACCCTCCGTGTCGTGCACCAGAAGTTTCAGAACAAGAACAAAGACACGAAGCAGAACTGAAGGGGGACAGTGTGGGGGGCCAGGACTTTCTCCCCACGGCTCCATCTCCCCTGCCCTCGATGCCGTCCGGACTCTGGTGTTGCCCCGTGTCCCTTGGGTGTGGGACAGAGCTTGGGGCCTGCTGGCAAATAAGACATGTTGACGTGTTCACTGTGGTGCTGGATCCATGCCTGAGTCACTGCCCTGGAGCTGGGAGCACCCTGCACCTCCTGCCCCCCTCCTCCAGCAGAGCAGGGGGTGCCCAGGACAGCTGCTCCCCTTCCCCCTGCCCTGGAGGTGGTTACTGGGATGGGTCCCTCAGTGTCTCACACAGCTCCTGGGCTGGGCCAGGCTCTCCCCAGCCCTGCAGTGGTGAAGGCAGAGGGGAAGATGCTCTTGCATCCCCTTCCCTGGCTGCCCTTTGCTTTTGAGGAAGGAAAAGGGGGCTGGGTTCCAGCAGGGGTTGTACCCAGTTCCTCCTCTACCTTCAAGCCATGGGGCTGAGGCTGAGGGCCTGGGGCAGCACCACAAGCCCAGCTTTGTGCTGGAGCTGTGTAAGCAGCATCCTGCTCTCCTATCCCTGGAGGAGGCACAGGCCAAAATACAGGGAAGGTGCTGCCTTGGGTCACAGGGGGGGTCTCAGAACATGCTCTGCTCCATGATTTTGGCTCATGTGGCAGTCACTGGGAAGAAAAGGCATCTCCCAGTGCCCCCACCTGTGCCCAGGGTGCAGTAGGGAGGGGAGGGCAGGGCTATGAGCTCCCTCCCATAGCACCCCAGGGCTTGCACAGCCCCGTGCCACGGGCTGGGGCCACTGCTTTGGCCACCCAACAAGCCCAGCAGGACCTCAGGGGAAGAGAAGCCCCCTACTGCCACCAGGGACTCCTGAAGTGGTAGATGTCCCAAGGATTCCTGATGTGCTGGGAACCAAAGAGCATCCCTGTCTGGAGCCATGCAGGCACCCTGCCAGGGCTCAGCACCCAGCTGCAGCTCAGCCAGGACCCAGCACCAGCCTCTGTTCCCCAGCTCTGATCCTGGTTCACAGCCCTCCAGCCTTCCTCCCTCTGCTCAGAGAGAGGGCAGGAAGGAAACCACAGAACCAGAGTTTTTATTCCAAGGGCAAATGTATTTAAATAATTTACAGTCATTGGACAGCCTGAAAATTGTTCTTTTTTTTTTTTTTCTTTTTTCCATGACTAAATCACAAAGATGTTAAAATAAAAACAGTATTTAAAAAATGAGCATACATGGCCGGAGGGAGGGGAGAGCACAGGGGAGCTGCCAGCTGCAGGACCCCAGGAGCAAGCAGGGCCCCTGTGGATGGAGACCCCCCCCCAGAGAGTCTTTTTTTTGGGG